ATTGATTCTGATTTAGCAAAGTTCCTATGTATGTGCTTAACTTCAATTTACATAAGTAACCATACTTGTATTAATATGACTGATCATGTACTTAAGTGCTTTGATGGATTGAAGCTAGGTTGATGACAGCCATGTTTTGCTTGGTGCTGACCTTAATTCTTACTGTATTTTTAGGTAGGAGAGGACTCCCGTCATTCAGGACCACCAGTTTTACCAAGACCATCAAGCACATTTAATACAGTCAGTAGAGCGCAGTATCAGGACATTGTTCCAGTGGGTATGTCAGTGCACATGATTCTCTTCAGAGAGGCCTATCTTGATTTAACTATGCATGTCAGGGTTCCCTGTTGGGGTTTTTCTGTTTGGTGTTGTACTTTGTATAATGGTTCAACCTATCTACCAGCACTTTCTGTTAAGGAACTTCCATCTGTGTACATGGAAAAGTTTCCGTGCAGGGTCATGTTAATGTGGAAATGTTTGCTAGTTAAAACAAAGGCTTCCTTGCATTGAAATTCCTGTTTAACTTTCCCTGAAAAGGAGGCAGAAAAGTTTCAGATAGTGGGCCAGATTCTCTATCAACCTGGATTCCACTCTGAGTTTTTATTTCACAGACTTTCCAAAGGCTAGAAGTCTTCTTGGAATTGGTCAGTAGCCTAAATTCAGTTCCCAGTTACATACCCACAACCTTACTGAGTTCGATACCACAAAGAACAGAATTCAAGTAATTGAATTTAACAGCTGTCATACTGCGCAAAAAACTCAAGATTTATTCATCTGATTGACTATGATTGGCTTTTGGTTCAGTGGCATGTTACTTGACAATCACAATTTAACCTCCTTTCCCATGCTGCTTTATTCAGGTTTAGGATTTGTGCTATATTGAACAAAGATACTTTAACGGTGGTTGAATAATTGACAAAGGAATAGGCCCAAAACCTTTGGATAGGCACTAACTTGGTAGATAGAACCACTTTAAAGATATATACATATGTTAAAGAAATACTTTAAATTCATTTATTTTTTTTGGCATAAACTGACAAATAATGACAAAGAATTAAGATGGTCATTGACAACTGCATTTTAAATAGTTTTCCAATAATTTGGGCTCTGTTGTTTGATAGTTGTCCTTGGAAGCTTCACTAGTAACTGAAGCCTACTCCCATGTTGCACATGTTTGCTCTTGGTAGTTTAGAAACACAGAAAAATACAAGTTGGCTGCCTGTCTATCCGGTGGTAGAATTGCACACATCATCAGAAATGTGTCCAGCTGTGTAAATGGTGTTTGTTAAATAAATGCTGAAGAGCTGAAAGAAAAGCTCCACATTGTGTTTTGATGTGATGCATCAAAATCATGAGTGGGGGGAAGGGAGATTTAGTTCTCAGTGATGAAACAGCGGAGCTACAAAAGTATAGAAAGTTAGCAAGAGTATAAGAGTATACAAGATACACAATTTTGAACGTAAATTTGTACAGCAATAAATATTTATACATTTGATTTATTTCACTACAGCAAAAAAGTGGAATGAAATCTGTCAAGCTTTCAATCCCTTAAGATAAGGGAATGTATAATTAAGGCAGAAAAACTGGTTATTCCTCATACCATTGTGGAATCTAGGGCTATGGGCTATGGACTCATATTCATTTGTAAAGCCTCAGCACTCAGTGCTGCCTCTGCTGTGAGCGTACCACCTCTTGCCATTGGTCCTAAGGCACCAGTCACTATAGTGGTTGTTCCCACAGTGCTGTTGACACACCAGCTGTTGACACACCAGCTGTAGACATACCAGCTGCTATTTTTGTGGCACTACAAGGGCATTTATGGCACTACAAATGTAATGTGTCCATAGTTTAAGAAAACCATACCATAAGTGCTTGGAATTATAATAACCAGGCAAAAAAGCAGCATGAATTAAGGCTTGGGTAGAAATTGATTTGCAGCCATATATTTCAATGTATTGGTTTTGTGGGACTTGATCAGACCATTAATATGAGTAAAATATAAAGGCTGGTATTCTTCAAGAAAAAATAGAGTTGGAAGCAAATGCAAAGCACCTAACTATTTACCATGTATATGGTAATAAGAAATATGTGCTATACCACCTAGTTTACTATTAACTAATTTGTGAGTTTATATTCCTATCTAGCACTGCCATTTGACTAATACGAAAATATATTATTATTAACATATATGATTATTTATTGCCCAGTAACTTGTATAGTTGTTTGTATCAATGTAAAGTGGGCAAAAATATTGATTATAGTAGTTTTTTTATATTCTTTCAATAAAGTATTCAAGAAAAGAATTCAAGTCAGATCAATTCAAATTCATGCCCCTGTTACTCCCATTAAAAATTCAAATCCTCTTTTCTTGAACAATAGAAATGTAATAACTTGGCGTATATTGCTTTCCAACCCAAAATGCTTTTTAAAAATTAGTGAATTAAGCCGTCATTTTGCATTGATATACATGATAGCACAGGATGAAGGACAGTGGATAATAAGATCCTTCGTAAGGTCATGCAAATATGTTTACTAGGTTAACATGAAATAATGGTTTGCTTGATGAAACATCTGAAAAAGTCACATTGTTAATTTTTATGAAGGCATGTTCTGAATCAGATTTGATTCATAAACAAGATAATTTTTTATATCTAAAGCACAATTTAGACATTTTTTACAATAGAGTACTGTTAGTGTAATAAATGAAAATAAAGCTCAACTATTCTCATTGTCATTTTTAAAAATTACAAGAAATGTTATGTTGCTGTACAAATAACATCAGTGTTCAGTAGGATGACTTCTGTTCACATTTGCAGCCTATAATGACAAGATTGTTGCATT